GGGGGGGGGGGGGGGGGGGAGGTAGAGTGGGAAATAAAGAGGATAGAGAGAGGATGAAGCTGCGGAGAGAAAAAAGTGTGTGAATGATGCTGCTCTGCGGAGGAATGTGTCCAAGGGACGTCAGTTTATGCCACAGGTGTCCAACATGGTGGACGTGATGGTTTGTCAGGGAAACACAAAGCACTGTGTCTGATCCTGATGTGTGCAGCCAATTCTTTTGGCAACACACTGAGCATGCTGCATCCATAACACTTACCTTCATATCGCATTCATGAAACAAAGCAGAGTTTTCATTTCTCCAGACAGAGAAAGAGAGGGGGGAGAAGTTGCATTAGCTACGAGTTGGATGGACGCTAGTAAAGGTTGAGTCTGTGCAGCAGTGTAATGTTGGTTTTTATAGTAAAAAGGGCCCAGTTTTTGGTCGAGGAGGAGGAGGAGGGTGGTGGGGGGGAGCGGAGTAGAGCGAAGCTGTAGTTGTTTAAAAAGCCCTTCCCTTGCCTTGCCCATTGTGCCTGAGACAGGGGTGTGTGGGGGGAAGCGGGGGGTCACGCTGAGAGCTCGTTTCTCCTGCCTGTCAGAACTCTATCTGGGATCCAGCCGGAACTAATCAACTCCAATAGGCCTCCCCATTACCCAGGGTGCAATGGGCCACGGGCCGGGGGCTGGCCGGTGGGAAACAGAGAAGAAGGAGAAGGGACACACACACACACACACACACCCCATACTCCACCAGCCCGTGCAGCACACACAACACTCCCACTGTTTCACACTGAAGCAATAATAAACACTTGCAATAATATTTTCACAGCAAGCAATAGCCTGCTTCAGATCAGAACCTTGCGCAGCTGTGGAGTACACACATGGGCACCCACTCACATGCATACAGACACACACACACACACACGTACATACATACATACATTTCCTCGTCACGCACATGTTGCACCACGCTGATTCTAAAACTTGAGACATTTTAAAGGCACTTTTTGGTGAGAAAGCAGCAGAATGCCTTCACAAAATGGCTTCTACACATGACAACAAACTGCATCTGCATCAAAACAAACTCACAATAAAAAACAACAACAAGTAAGATCTAGTATTTATAACGTCCCAGTGGCTCAGGTGGTAATTAAAACACTAAGGAATCACAATAGCTGCAATAATTCAATGTAATCTAATTTATTTTAATGCTTCTTTCTGTTTGAAAGTCGGGAAAAATATTACATTATGACTGACTGATTTTGTTATTAGTGTTATATACTGTGCAGTTTTGATATCACTGCCTTTATGTTTACCTATCTTTCCATTTCTATTTAAGAAATTAATAAAATATTATGAAAAATTTGGGAAATAGTTTTACATAAACTCCTCAAGAGCCTAAATTGAGCTAATGTAGCACATTAATATTGCCATCTTGTGGCTAGATAATGAAACTGCAACATTTAAGGGGGTTACACGACTTCTGTGAACTTTTATAACAAATAAAAAGAACTTACAAAGGTAGTGTTATTAGAATAGGTTATTTGGACTTAATGTGTTAGTCATAAAACTATTAAAGAAACAAAATCATTTCTACTGACTTTGCAGAAAAAAACTGATATATAATCCAAATATTTTAATGATAAATCCATTTTAATATACCTCAGGGGGAATTATGCTTTAAATGCTAAAAACAAGATCAGGAAGTATAATTAATGCCTTTCTCTTTCTAGAAATAAACTAGTTCCTCTCTTCATGGAGTCTAGACTGACGTCTGACAAAGCCTATGTCACTTTGGACACTATCAAAGGCAACAGTGTGTGAGTGTGTGCACAAACTTTAGTGTGTGTGTTTTTCTGAGTGACTTCAGCCTCCTTCACTGAGGTGAAGTGGGGGCAGATTTAAATGAGTAAAGAAAACTACCCCCCCTTCATGCCCCCATGTCATTGTGTGAGTGTGAGACTCGCTCTCGTCTCATTGGATGCAAATTTTTTCCTAAAAATTTGACCAACTCCTAATTAATATCAATTACTGTTCTTTCCCCTCCTCTACTATAAGTTGCATGATGCATGTGTGAATATGTGTGTATGAGGAGTACAGGAGATGTGCTGAGGCTACTGAGAGGCCCAGATAAACGTGGTGCTGTTAGGGGGGAGGGGGTAGGGGGGTCACATGGGAACTCAGGCCCTGTGGTAGAAGAGGGGGGCATTGAGAAGCACTGGGGTGGGGTTAATCCCCATTCACCCTGTCCTTCGCTCAACCGGGCCGGGCACAATAAGCTCCGCCCTCCTCCCCCTGCGTCTCCCCACTGACCTCTCACCCCACATTTACGGATGCTGTCCCTGGGCCCTTTATGCCTCCATCCTGTTATTATCTGCAATATTTACTCCTTTTGATTTCCCTGCTGGCCATTGTCGACGCCCCACACAGCCCTCCTGACTGACTGGAAAACTCAAGTGCTCTCCTTCCTACTCCAGCGTCACCCCTGAAACCTTAAAACCCTCAGCAAACACCACCTGAAGTGGAAATGAGTCAGCTTACAACCACTTATTTATGGCTTTTGATTTGGGCCACAAGGAGCTGCACAGAAGAGCAACAGCCAGTGAATGAATGGAGTCAAAGAAGTGCTGTTACAGGGGTGCCTTGTGGTTTACATGTAACCACAACATCCCTGGTTTGAGTCCAGTCCACCACTCTCTCTCTCCCCCTTTGTTTATTTTCTATATCTTTTAACAATATACAATCCAATAAAAGTAAAAAAGCACAGAAGAAGTTACAGTGTATAACATTTAGAGGGCTCTATCAGCAGAAATAAATATAATATTCGTAGGTATGTTTTCATTAGTCTCTTCTACAGAGTCCGCCACATTGAACCACCAGGTAGCTACAGTAGCACAGAATGGATCAACCAAATATTGGCTCTCGACTTTTATATTTTTAAGTTTCTTTTAGTTTCATTTAGTTTCTCCTACACGTTTAGTTTAGTTTCTCCTACACGTTTAGTTTAGTTTCTCCTACACGTTTAGAGGGCGAGCAGTAATTAATTGGTTGCAATCTGCAACTGGTCCTGTAAGTATTTCTTTCTTTCTTCAACAGCACGTTAGAAGTTGAAGTCTCTGTTTAACAAAATTGAACAACTCTTAATTCAGTAACGTACAAAAATCTACAGCTTTCATAAAAATGTATAAAATCTAGTTGTTGCATCCTTGTAACTTGGTTTCTATCTGTATCTGTGATCTCCAGTATAGTGGCTGTTGACCTGCTGCAGATTTTTCACTTACTAACTCACTGACTCCAGGTTGCCATCTCCTGACTTTGGACTGTAGTGCACCATCTTCTCCTACACACACACACACACACAAACAACATGCATGTAAAGACAAACGCAGAATAGTCGAGTTATAAATGGGAAACAACATAAACAAGAAGTAAAAGACAAAACATGATGACATGATGGCAATGGTCCTGTAATTACCATATGCATAAATTGGTCGCCATGGCTACAGTCCCTCCTCCTCCTCCTCCTCCTCCTCCTCCACAGATATCCATGGTTGTTGTTGTTGTTGTTGTTGTTGTTGTGGACACTCCTGCAGATCTGTCATGATGCTGCCAGGTTACAATAAAGTGAAAACTAGATTAAAAATTATAAAAGAAAAGTACTTGTGAAGTAAATGTATTTGTGTACGTGAATGTCTCACATTAACAGACAAACACAACAAGAAAATCCTTCCTAGTCTTAGAGGACTGATGAAGAATGACAGGAAGCAGCGATCACTGATTGCTCCAGTTGTTATTTTGATGTATCATGTGTGCCTGGGCCAGTAAATCACAGTTAAAATGTTTGTAGGAATATTTAAGAAAAAAATAAATAAACAAGTGTCATAGAAAGAGAAATGATTGTTGGGGGCATAAAAATACCAACAAAAACCACAGAGACTTTGAAGATAAACAAAGACTTCAGATATGAGAGTCAGAGAAAAGGAAAACAAATGTTTGTGTGCATGTGCATGTATAATATCTTTGTGTACCATAAATAGCCACAAGAGGCCATACTTTAGTGGAAACCACAGTGGAGAGGACAACTCTTTTCCGTCCTCCTCTCTCACTCATCTCTCTCTTCTCTTCATGACTTATTGTCACGCCATTCCCGTCGCCCTTTGAAAAACACAAATTAAACACAAACACATTGAAACTGAAACTAAGTGATATCAAACATGCTTCAGAGATGTGGAAAAACAGACCATAACTAAACCAAACCACAGGCACAGAAACAACAAGACAGACAGTCTGACCACACTTAGTTTGTACCATCGCGGGGGATTTGATGTAGCTGAAGTTTAAAATGTTTAGAGGGGGGGAGAGAGGCAACTACACACTAGATTGCATGTTACATACAAGCACAATATGAATATACAGTTAACATACTAAAAGCATGCCACCAGAGACACACAAAATCAAGAAACACTGTGGAAGAAATGTCAAACTGAGGGGATTATGGTAAAATCAACTAAAAAGTAACATTAATATCAGAGAAAGCTTACATTGTAAACAGGTTTGTAATAATTGAGATGTGTGCACTGTGAGCAAGGTTAGTATCTTTAACTGGAGAAAGAAATCTTTCAGTGTGGGTGCATGTTTAGTGTTTAGTTATTATACCTGCAATGTGATTAAACAAATACCTATAATATGCAAGGGCCTATGTCATTTATAGAAACAATGAGGACAAAAAAACAAAGTTTGTTTTAAAAAGTTCAACATTTAATTCAGTCACATTTAAAAAATACAAAGATAAAATACAAAAAAACCAACAGATTTTAAATATCCTCATTTTTATTCTTCTTGTCATCTCACATGAGCGGACAAGGCAAACCAGCCCTCTCGCTCTCTCTGTTTCTCCATCTGTGGTGGAAAAAGAAAAGTTGTTATAGAGTTTTAAAAGTAAGTAACTAACTGAACTAACTGTAACTAAGTGATAACAGTTTGATGAAACCAGAATACTTCCATGTATTGTGCGTGTGTGTGTTTGTGTGTGTGTGTGTACCTGTGTCTTATCTCTTGTTTCTCCTCCAAGACTGTGAGAAAACACTTCAGAACCAGCAGATCTGAAATATAATATTATAATATTAGGGGATTAACTAAAAAAAAGGGTCAATCTACACTAAATTTTTAAGATTTTGCTCCTAAACCTGAAGTATGAACTCTAATACTCATCATTAAAAATTGTGTTGGTGTACTCTTTAGACTCTTTATCCCAAAGGATGTCAGCTCTCCTGAGATGAGTTTAAATTAAGCACCTTTAATGTTGAGGAAGACTCAACTTAAGCAGATAAGATGCTCAAACAGTAAGTATAGGATACATTTGTATTACAGTGTATCTGTGTTTTATGGTTTAAAAGCTGGGTTTAGTCTTTAGTCCATCATCTAAAACAGAAACTCACCGTCTCACAGCACCAGTCTGAGACAGGACCTCCTGTGCAGGCAGCAGCATGGACGTTTCTGGACTTTCTCCTCCAGCTGAGAATAATATAATACAATTATTTATTTATTTTCCAGGCAATGACGCAGATAAACAGTGACATGAGTGAGCTGCCATACCTGCTGATTGTGGGCTGAATGCAGAATGAGGGATGGGGGAATCAGAGGGAGAAACTTTGGCTGAAACACTTTGTTTCTGTTGCTCAATGAGCTCCAGAAGTCGACCCCTCGCTGCTGCACTCTGTCTGTTTAACTCCAGGAGGCGCTGTTCCACACGACCCATATTGAGGGTGTTTGGTGATGTTGCCTAAGCAAGAAGACAGAATAATAAAACTGTTAATTGAGATTATCACCCCTGAAACTAATTACTGGGGCATCCTGGCAGCTTGGAGTTTGGTTATGATACAGTAAGAATTCTGTTATTCACCTCTCTCTCCCAATCAAACCTGTGTTTCCTGACTTTCGCTCTACCTAAAATAGAGAGGCTAGAGATAAAAAAAGATTACTGGTCTATAAATGAGGAACATTTCTGCGGATTTGGCAGAACAAGCAGAGAAATCTCTCCTCCCATTCATTTTTTGGCTTTAAGAGAAAATGAAAAAACACATTTCAAAAGCTAAAAGAAAGCTGAACATTTCAAGAACATCAGGAAAATGTATTTATTCTCTTTTAACCATAATATAATACATTGAGAGGATTATTTTCCAGCTAAACATATAGTTTCTTCTAATTTCTTTAATTAGACTCTTTAATCCACAGTATAATGCTACTTGATGTAGCTTTCAAAAAGAGGAATTTAATCTTTAAAATAAAAACATACAAAATATGATGTATGAACGCGTCTTTGACTTAAACTCACCTGATTGGTCGTTTGGTCTCCTTCAGCAGTCCTTCTCTCCATGCTGCTGGAAACCGACGCCCTCCTCTCTCCAGCACTTTGCGGTGTGACTCTTCCCGTGCTGCCGGAGCTCAACCTTCTCTGCTCGATGCTACTGTTAGGCGATCCTCCGACCCCTGACCTGAGGCCCTTAGCCTGGCTAAGCTGGGCCTTGATCAGGTCGTTCTGTCTACTCAGCTGAGCGATCTCAGCCATCATGGCCTCTGGAGAGAGCCGTGAGCTGAGAGGGTCGGAGGTCAGCGATAGTGAGGAAGTGGAGGGCAGGCTGGTGAGAGGAAGGCTGGTGAGGCTGGAGGTGGAGCTGTGGGCCTGGACGTCCCCACAGGAACGCTGGATATCTACAGGAGGGAGCTCCTGGTGCAGCTGTACGGGATGAGTCACTGAAGAAGAGGAGGGAAAGCAGCTAAGTACGATGAGGGCATAGTGCTGAAATCTTATAACTAAGAAAAAACAGGATGTTACCAGGAGTTTGCTGCCAGTTGTCCATCTGTCGAGGAGGGGAGAGCAACACGGCAGGAGACACAGAGGCTTGTAGTCGTTCAGGAGCTCGCTCAGCAACTGGTGCAGGCTGACAGACTGTTTACGACATTAAGAACAAATTAAACACGATTTACTATAAAAATATCCATGCCGAGACAAACACACACCCATACGAACCTGCAGCTTTAACATCAATGTCCTGGGGTGGGTCAATGTGTGCCTCCAGTAGTCCAAGTCCCCCCATCACCAACACCACTGTGTCCAACTTCTGCTCCAGCTCGGCTGTCTGCAGTTGCAACCCGGCCTGAGAGGAGCCAAAGAGAAAGAAACAGGGTTTATCAGAACAGCTGCAACCTGGACAATAAACTAGTGTTAGACCAAGCTCTGTCTCACCTGCAGGGCGGCGGCCTCTTCTCTGAGAGTCATCGTCTCAGCAGTGAGAGCATCAATCAGCCCACGCTGCTTTCTCAACTCCTGCTCCAGTCTTCTCCTCTCCTGAGCCTCTCTGTAAGCTTCCTCGTCCTTCTACAAACAGTTCAGTTCACTGGCTGTCATAAAATTGTCTACAAGAGTGTTTAAGAAAGACTTATTTAATCAGTTACCGTACCTGTTTGAGGAGGTGCACTACACGTCCCAGAGTGGAGACCAAAGCGACAGAGAATCCTGTGAGGCCTTGTGTTCTGGGCTGTTTTTGACTCTGTGCTGAAGCTGGTTCAGTGTGAGGACTCAGAGTATCCAAGTCTGCCTCCACCTGACCCAACATGGCCTGCAGCAGGCCCAGACTGGACTGATCCCCACTGAGAGAGGCAACAGAGGAACCATTCAACTCCGAACTCTGAGAAACATTCTTCCTGGCCCTGCTGGTCCTACTACTGATCCTGCCTGAAAGACATACAGAGAAATACAAAAAAAAGATACTAATTATTTCTGTTCATTGCAAATGTTTAGCAGCTCACATGATGACATTTGTGCATATTATTATTATACGCTACGAAGAACAGATAACTTCCTGATATTACCTGATTGGTTGAGAGGCAGCTCAGGGTTCAGAATCTGAGAAACCAGGACTGATTGTTCTCCCATGCCTTCCTTTGACTGGCTTTGTCTGGACTGAACACGCTGAACAGCCACTGTGGCATTGAGAGCTGAAACAAGGTGGGATGAGTTTGACCAAATGTATAAATTCCTTATTGATGACTTGAACAGTCTTCTTTCTTTTCACCCTACCTGTTCGGTCTTGTGCTCTGCCTGATGTGCAGGGGGTTACGGGAACATCTTTTCTGTCTGCCTGGTCAGAGTTGGGACGACGGACTTTCTGTTGCCGTGTCAACCTGCCCCGAGATTGTGCCTTCATTTTTCCGAGATTGGACCTGGAAAAGAAAAGTATTACAAGTAATGTAGGGGTGTCAGCAGGATCAGAAATCAGATTGTGGTGGCAGGTACTGACTATTTTCCAGGCATTATTACCTTTTGATTACATTATAGTCTGAACTATGACAGCTTTCTTCATCACTGTAGTCTTCATCTGAAGCTTCTACTTCATTAAGAGCCTGAAAGGAACCATTTTACAAGTGCAAACATGTTAATAAACCAAAATCTTTAAAGCCAAAGTAAAAACAGGACGTAAAAATACACAAACTTATAGTAGATTATTAGTACGAACAAATGAGACACGAGTAGATGAAGACGGTAAAAACATAAAGTAACAAGTGTATGACATGATTTTGACACAAAGTCACAAACACCTGTTGGTCCATCATTGACTGGCTGAGCAGGGACAGCTGAGTGGGAGGATCTGGTCTCTGGAGCACAGGCGGCGCTGACTCAGAGTCACAGTTTGGAGCCATTGTCACACTTGGGTGCCCTGTGGAAATACACAAACAGAGAAACAGTAAATAACATAAAATNNGCTTTTGTCTACAAGCATGAAAACAAGCCAACACTTTTATGTTTTATCTGCTTGGCACTCTATTATGTATTCATGGCTATGGCAGAGTGAATGAGTCGTCTTCTACCAGTCTGCCTGCGTGGAGCATCTCCAAACAAGTCTTTGACGACAGCCATGGCTCTGTCGGAGCGAGCCAGCACATCCTGCAGCAGCAGCTGGTCAGAGAACACCTGTAGAGGTTAAACACACCATCATAAAGGATCAAGAAAGCAAAGAAGACACTAAAAGTAACAGAAAAACTGCTTCTCACACACCTCCCGAATGATGCTGAGGCTGGTCTGGTCTAGAGGTGCGGGGCTCCCCGGGTGTCTGAAGCGGCGTTTTAGGGCTTTCTCTCTCAGCTCCCACTGAGCCGCAGCCTTGTTGTGGGACTTGTGGATCTCGTGCCGATGGCTCTGAAGGAGATACGAACAATCAGACAAGCAAATATGAGTTGAAAATAACCGTTCTGATCGTTTCAGTACTATAAGCTCACAAAAATAACGTAAAGCAATCATATCGACGGTTATAGTAAGAACCAGTATGTGTAGACATCACATTAACAGAGCACCAGTGAACTACCTTACCAGCTCTGCAGGTGTCGGCTTGTGCACAGACAAGTCGCTGACAGTGCTCTGAAACAAACGAGAGGGCTGTCTTTACTTAAATGGATTAAACACGTAGAGATAAAAAGCTGTCTAACCTATTAGGCCTGCACATTTAATCGAAATATTATTGTTAGAAGGTAAAATGTGTGACAAAACAGCATCGTAATGACGTACTGTAGTGCTGCAGAGGTGCTCTTCTACATATATTGTTCTCAAAACATTTTTATTTGATACCAAACTCCCACACATTAAACATCGAGTCAAATGAATCACAATATGATGTTTCTACCACTCTCTGCAGCCCTATAACCTATAAATCCTACTACGATTCATCAGAAACTCTCTACTGTAACCCCTCAAAGTGAAAGTGCACCCCACAGCCTCAGTAACTGAGCGGTCTCCTCCTTTAAACAGGAGGACCAGCTGTCAGTACTCACCACCCACTCTCTTCTGGGAGCTGCTGCCTTTTTGGGACGAGCAGGCCTTTTCCCTCCTTTGGTGTGTTGCTGTGGACGGCCCGCTCTCACAAAGGACATCTGTTCACAGACAGTGGGAGTAAACAATAGTAGCTCCACGGTGGAAACACACACTTGTTTTGTTTTAACTTAACTTAATGCAGCAGGATGTGTGGCTAACTAGTTAGCAGTTATTTACGTTAGTTGCTTGTTGTCGCTGAGCTTAATATAGAAGTAGCACTTACGTTTCGATGAAGTTATCTAAGTTTTATAATAAGATCGCTTCAGGTTGTATTTTATAACCGGTTGTCGAGGTTGGAGAGATTCAAAAACTCCTCCTCTGTTTGTTGCGTGACAGTTTTTCAACAGTTGCGCGCCACTTCCTGCGCTGTTGCCACGGACACGGCTTCACGGCGGTGCATGATGGGAAATGAAGTTCCGGCGAGGAGGGAGACTCAGTGGTGGAAGAGGAATACTTTAAAACACTTAATTATGATATAATGTATGATTGTAATACAATATAATTAATGTGATGTACTTGAGATACAAGTGTTAATTATACAGTTAAATTATATCACTTATTTATTATTACTAATGCACAGCCAGCACCATTTTAATTAAAATTAAAATAGTTGGTTGAGTTTGCAGAGCAGGCTGAATGGAGTAATTCTTGACCAGTCGTATTCATGATTATTCAGGTCCTTTACCTTAAAGTAGCATTACCACAGTGTAAAATGAGTGCATTAAATGTAAAGGTCCTGCGTTCAAAGTATAGTACATACTTAGGGTATCAAAAGTAATGGCCCCTGTTTTATTATTACTTATTTTATTGTTTAATTATTATCACAGATGCATTAGGTGAGGGCAATTTTAAGTACTCATGCACATATACTGTATTAATTATAGTTTAACCTAAAGCAAGAACCTATAGGACTTACAGCTTAAACCACTGGGTAATAATGTTGTCTACATTACAGAAAACGGGACATTACATTAACGCACTCCCGTTTTCTGTGCAGTTTCTTATCTTTATTTATTTATTAAAAGTTCTCTATTTTTTGTGTGTGCTTGTTGTGTGATTTGTATATTTTT